AGTGCTCACCATGTACTTCCACTTCACCACATAAGTGTCTCCCTCATGGAACTGCCCTATGCTTTGCTTAGGTAGTCTACTGTAATCAAATTCCAGGATGTGCCAGACATCCACAGATGCAGTGATAATTTCAAACTGCCTCCCATCTTCTCCTTCTACAAGTCCATAGCCCCGGCCAATATTCATTCCATCCAAGACTGTGCCTACAGTCGTTCGGGGCACAGCTACCATTTGCATGACATCATATGGTTTAGAGTCAGATCTGGATTCTTCCTGTCACAAAACACAGAAGAGATTTATTTGAGCATAGCTTTTTTCTTCTTACCCCACAGTTCCACTCAGCTTGACTCCTGCATATTTCAGTATTTTAGTATCTTGTCATCATTTGATCCTTGTCAAAGCCACCTTGACAGTATTCACTGAGGCGCTCAGCACTAATATAAAGCACCTCTGTGGGTTCACTGTAGGTGGTGATGTTCTGACTCCTAGGTCAAAGCTTGCAAGATAAAGGAAAATGCTCTGGATCCTTGGGAACAAGCTTCCCGGACTTCCATCCCAGCTAGGTCATATAGTTTGAAATACCTAGCATGCTTATTATATGCACCTTCTGGTGAAGAGATTCAGTAGAATTCTTCTCATTGAGTTTCCTCAGCTCTGTCCAATCAAGAAATTTTTCTTTGAACAGGATGGTCTCGTTATGTTCTGTGAGTCTGCCAAACACAGCCCAGTCTGGCCGTCCTTGTCCCTTTCTGTAGAAGGGAACAAAAGAAAGAATCAAATTAAACACTGTGAAATAAGGGTTGAAAAAGAAAAAAAAAAAAAAGCTAAGTTTCTGCAATGAGACTAAACTCAAGTTTTGATACCTGGGTATGAGGGGATTGCATTCCCCTGGGTCCAGAGGATTTATGTCACAATTGGAGTAGTCAAAGGTGCCATTCCACAGGTGTTTTGCCAGCTGGAATGCCACTTTTCTTTGTGCTAAAGTAACTTCCTTTCCATGCCATACATATACTTCACTGCCAAAATCAAACACCAGCACCTAAAAACCAAAACAAAAAAACCCAACCTACCATTAGGTTAGGCAATACCTTGATCCTCCAGTTTGCTAGTGCTGCAAGCTGACAGTGTGTTGAACACAAACTCCTCCAGATATCTGAGTTTTTGCAGTGACACTAACAACTAGCAAGTAAGACCAGGGCAGCGGTCTGCACTGACGTCTAACTGTTGAGGATGACTGGAAGCAAGTATGGGGCATGCTATAAGGTGTATCTTTAGGTGGTAGCTGTGTCACTACTAGATTACAGAGGTCTTATTACTGAAAACCTGATTCTGTTGCATGACTGATTGCTGTCCAGTTACAGCAGCTTTCACTGACATTTAGACCTATGCTTCCTCCTGCACCTGGGGAAGGCTGACAGAACATACAGCGTGGGTAACTGGCTCAGCAAACAGGCAGCGACTTGAATACTTTCAAGAAAACGCATTGCATCTTTATTTTGGAAATCTGCTCTCATTCCTACTTAGATGGGTGAAATGGTTGTTTGAAATGGCAAAGTCTGCAAAGGAGAGAAATAAAAATGCTTGAAATAGAGATCAGGTTTTTATTTTGTTTTGTTTTTCTGAAGTACTACCTGTTTTGCACTTCATGACTTTGTAGTGAGGCACTGTTAAAAAGATTTATACTTTCTAAAACAGTATTTCACTTTAAAGATAACATGATCTAATTTCTTGAGACTTGCATACACCCTAGACACAAAGTGTTTGGAAGCTTACCAGAAACACAGAGCACTCAGTTTTCAGTGAACCTCTCCATGAGCATGTGCAGTTACTGAAAGTCATTATCAGCTGTGTGTTCCTGGACTTACTATAGGAGCAGTTAGTGGCACGATACCTCTTTTGGTTGTAGCAGGGTACATTTTGGCACCTTTCCCCAGTAGTCATCCTCAGGAATTAGTTTATCCTCTACGAGGCGGTAAATGCAATTTGTTTCTATTATTGCAGCTTCATACATTTCATCTTCTTCAGGACTTCCAGCAGCTTAAGGAAAAGATTATAAAAAACAATAAAAAATTCTAGCATCCAACTATCTTTACTAAAAAGAACCAACTCTACTATTTTACTATGATAAAACATCAGATACTGTAACTGTAAGAATGCTTACACTGGTAATTTGTCTGTCCACCAAGGAGTTTCCAGAAGTCTTTGGCTGCATGGGTATGGGTATTTATTCCTTCTTCTATAGTCTGTATATAAGAAGCTCTACAGCCAAGTTCCTTCTTTGTCTGAATTAAAGTTGCAAGTTCTGAAGCCTAAGAGATTAACAGTTATCTGAACAGGATTGCTTAAGTCTTTGGAATACTTCTACATATCTTTTTCAGGGAGAAGGCAAAAGTAGATAGGATATAATAGAGCAAATAGCAGAAGAAATGGTTATTTGTTGCACTAAATAAACAGACACTAGAGAAAATGTTACAGAAATACATTCATTCTTTCATTTGCCTTAAAACAAGGCTTGATCTTAATGAACATGGGAATAAAGGATATCCTGCAATTCAGACTATTTTATGTTTGAGTGCAAATCTGTTTCCTGAGGATATCCTCTTTTCTGTTGCAGCTTCACAACCTACACACTTCTATGTCAGCTTTCATTCAGTGCACAGACTAAAACATATTTACAGGAATCCTGTGTATCTACCTGTCACTGACTATCACTTACATGCAACTTTTTGAGACAACTGGCACCAAGGCTCAATTACATCAGAGACATACACCGTGACAGTTCTAAAAATAAATAATAAAACCCCCCAATGAGTACTAACCTTTGCTTTCTCTATGACATTTGCAAACTCTCCTACCCATAAGAAACAGAAATGTGGAGTTAACAACAGGAAACAGTCTCCGCTGTTCAGTGACGAGGCCCTTGGTTCAACTAATCTTGTTTGAACATGTCTTCTTCCTGAAGAGAAAACAAAGCTAATTATATTCCTTTGACTAGTGCTATCAAATGCCAAGATCTAATTTGTTTTGAATGAAATACAAACAATCCCACTACATTTAGCAAAATATATGGAAAAAGATTGTTAAAGAATAATTTAAAAACTACTACTGTGGAAAAAGGGTTTACTCATAGGAAGCAAAAAAAAAAAAAAAAAAATATTCCCTCCTATCAACTAATATTTCAATTATTTCATGTTCCTGTTTTAACTACTTCTAGAAAGAAATTAAATAAATAAATGACAGACAGTAGCCAAATTCCAGAATTCTTTACATTTCCTTAAGTGATGCCATGTCACAGTTTCTGTAAGGAGGAAAAAGTTCTAAGTATTTTACTTTACCCAAAAAGTAGCTATTATTTTGCAGAATCAGATACATTACTACACACTGAAGTGGAGCAGGAACACTGTCACGTCACTTCCAAGTGTTATACTGCACACTGGAAGAATGAGACAGTTCAAAAATTTCCTCAAGAGGTGGCTAGAATTCCTGAAATATTCAGTTTTCTCCCTGGAAAGCATGCATCAGTGGCCATAATACAAACCTATTGGTAAGGTTTTGCATTTTTCACACAGTTCTCACTTATTCTGGTAGGTTTTGGACATAAATCTCAAGCTGGAGATCTAGAACAAGCTAAGTATCCAATTTTTGTAGCAACTCCCATAGGTTACAATCACCTATTATGTATGGAAAGTAAAAGCATTCCAGCATACCTTTAATTTGCAGCAGCATTAGCTTTTTGTATGGCACAGCACTGTTGTTAGAGTTTTGCTCTGTTAGATTAACGCTCCGCAGGCTAACGTTGCTGAAGTTCTCTTTGCTTGCCAAGCCAGCAAGTGCTACTTCTGAGAAATTTGAATTTGTAGACACTTGTACATAGAAAGAAGTTGGAGATAAAACACACACAAAAAAGGACAAAATTGTAAAAAAAATTGTTGTTGCATTATAAAAATTATTTCCCCCACTATATCCAGTTTTTCTCCTTCTCAATAGCAACAGCAAAACCAGGTTGAACTTAGATTAACTGCTCGCCCAAAAGCTGTGTCAGTTTAATAGTACCTAAGTACTACTCTAGATATTATCCAAGAGGAACCTGTCAGTGTCCCAATTATGTTATTTGTCAGAAATACCAACTTTGCTAGGAAGTGTGTCTTACACAATGTTTTGTGAAGTACTGTGCAGATCTTCAATGCCTTATAATTGATTAATGATAAAAGACAGCAGAGTAGCCAAGGCTAATTAACTGAAATGCCCTTCAAATTTGTGTCAGCCAGTGTGATGCAACAGCCATTTACATTGCAAAGTCTTAGTCATATTTTACAGTAAACTTAAAGCTTAAATTCTTGGCTACTTTTGCTTATTTCTCAGCAAAAGACAAAGCACTTCATGAATTAATAACTCAGGGAAATGCTTCCCATAAAATAGCAACATAGTACTACACATACAATCAGTGTTTTCATCAATGCAAGCAATGTTTAAAGATGACCTCCCTTTATAATAAGGAATAAGGAAAACTTGTGCCCTAAACGGTGAAAGTGGCTTGACAAACCTTTGAATAAATTTTACAATAACGTCTCTTGTTGTCTGTCTGGTTGTCAGGAGAAAGCAACGTCGCAAGTAAAACACAAAGCCCTGCCACAGAGCACTGATCCTTTCCTATGGAAACTAATCTTTCAGAGTCAAGGCGGCTAATTCCAGTTTCTGAGAGAAAACCAGGACCCAAAATTGTGGCCAGTGTACCTGAACAAAAGTTTACTTATTCTTGCCAGCCCTCCCCCACCAGCGTAACACAACGCTAGATCTGCTTTCCTCGCTCTCCTCTCCTCACCCTGCAGGCGCAGTGGCACTCCCTCTTTCTGCACAAGGTGACTGTGCTAAAAATAAATAATTAAACCTATGCACAGGAGGCAGCTGTCGGAAGCTTTCTTGAGGAAGTCACATGCCCTTCTCTCCAGACCTCCTAGACAGTCTACATGCAACTTCATACCTCAATCAACTTACCGCCTCTCAGAGAATATGTTTGGTGCCTTCAGTTGTGGTTTTTGTGTTGGGATTTTTTGTTTTGTTTTGTTTTTAATTAAAATAGCAAGACAGTCTCTTGTACAAATCATCCTGTTAGCTTACTTTTTTCTACTTTCATTCGCTTTGACTCCATGAAGGCAACATTCAGTCTTTGTTCAGTATATTCATGGAGGATATCTTCTCTTGCTGCCAGCATTTTCAGGGGGTTTCTTGATGACTGGACTCGGCGCGTAGGCCTAACTGCACGTTTGTGCTCTGCTACAGAAGATATTAACCTGAAAAACAAGCAGGGTTTATAATCATAAGTTAATTTTACTAGTCAGAATCATCTAATGACAAGAGATTTGCTCTCACTTTGGGCGTGACGCTTGTTAGGAAATCAGGATCAGCTCCTTGATTCATGCAGAAGAGCGATTTCAGAAACGTGTAGAAGAAATGGACATGCCCAGTACTAAGACATCTACAAGATGACATAAAGCTGAACGTTTTGACCACTGCTCCTATGTCTGCATTTGTAACAATGTAGAAAAAAAAAATTCTTACTTTGGTGCATAAGGATCAAAGATGGCATCAAAGTCCTCATCAAGGTCCAAAGGCACTGAGGAGGAAGGGAAATCCACATGGCGATAAAATTTGGAAAACGTTTCATCATCATCCAGCTTCATCACCTCTTTCACAGATTTTCCTGTAACTGTCAGCACTGTCTCTTGCATCCCAGCAACTGCAGGAAAAAAAAACAAAACACCTCACCTGATAAACAATCATACTAGAGTTTCTAACTCTAGAGCAGCTAAAGATGGCTTGTTTCATAGTTGTTGGGGTGGGGGTTTTTTGGGGGGGTGGTGGTGTTTTGTTTTAGTTTTTGTTCTTTAAAATTGATGGAATGTGAAGGAGAGATGATAGAAGAGTCTGTTGGAAAGAATGATAAAACAGAGTGTAAGTGCTACTGATATGAAACAATCTTTATTACAAAATGGTTGGGAAATATGGCTGAATACAATTAGGCACTATCAAAAATTAGTTGCTTTGGTAGGATGATATAAGCATCTTATGGTCTCGTATAGGCCATCTTGCCTCCAACCACATAATTCCTTCCTTTGAAAAGATCTACGAGAACTACAAGTAGAAAAATCACTACTTCGGAACAGCGAATATGGCACAATAATTATCCTGTGCTAGTGCCTCCTCTGCTGAAATATGAATGCATTTGTTTATGGTATGTGACACTCTACAAATTACAAAAGGATTTATGTCTTACAAATGGAGGACAGATGTACTAGATGGAAACACCAGGGAACTCTAGACAGCTTCCTAAGTAGCCAACAAGCTGTTCAAGGAAGCTGTAGAGATGCTGCAGACAGTCAGTTTTCAAAAAAGCAGGAAGGTGAATGAATTGTGCTTGGGAGCAGCTTAGTGTCCTATCTTGATTTTATTAAGATTAAACCATGTTTGAAGCTGTTTCACTGTATATAGCAATATGGTTCAGACTGGCAGTGTGGTTTTAAGGAATCTTGCTCACAAGAAGAATGTGTATAGAGAAACAAGAAAGTTATTTTAGCATTTATGATTTATTCCATTGTAAATTTGTAATACAGTAGCTTAAGGCTTTTTTATTAAAATTTAGCAAAGACTGAATCACAAAAATAAATTGTGTGATCAGTAAGTGCAGTCTAAACAAAGAAACATTCAATTTCCGTTACCAGATATTTTAACTAAGAGGTACTTTAAATGATTTACTGAAGTCGGAGAGTGTGTGCATTGCCACCTTTGGTAACTCTACCAACCTTTATTATTCAGCCTTCCCAAGAACGACTCCAACTTGTCAAGCTTCATATCTGATTCCAACTGCATATCAGGCCTGGCTTCAATTTCTAAGCAAACCAGAAATTAAAGCTTGTTAATTGTCAGAAAGTAAAAAAGCCTGAATGTATTTCAGCCATTTTTATTCCTTACCTTCCAAGGGCTTTGTAACGGGAGTGGTAGACTTCTGCCGGCTACTGAAAGGGGATGCTACTGGTGTTAGCGCACTTGGAGAAGCCAAGCCTGCGTACGAACAGAGAACACAGGAAATGCAGTCCTGGGTAAGCCTGTGTTTCCAACAGTGATGACAGGGGAAGCTATTTAGGGAAAGCAGACAAGCCTGCTCACTTCCTACAGCCCCTCATACTTCTGCAGCCCCCATGACTGTTGCATTAGGGATGGCAGTGTACTGTCCTGCCTGCTGCTTACCACAGCAGCACCCTCAGAAACTGCCCAATTCACAAAACCAGAGCTTTGTTTCCAGGTGTCTGTAAGCAAGCTAACACAAGATACGGGCTTTCTCATGAATACAGACATTTTGCTTGTTTTCAGCAGCAGTTCACTTGGTCTGCATTTTGGACTTCAGTTCTGTCACAACCCACATTTAAAAAAAATGTAGCTGTTCTGAACAAAAAGATATGGTTATCAGGGAAACTACCAAGATCTTGCTTGGCACCTTCACAACCGCCACTGCCTCATTCCCTTTTTAAAATTTAAACTCATCTCTATTAATACACATAGCAGGATGCATATGACCTGTGAATTAAACAGTAATTCTTGTGTCCTGTTGTGTTTTTATGAACACATGGAAATTGAAGGAGAAATGGAAGTCAGAGTCCCCACCATATCAAGCACTACTCCCTCCTTCTGTTGTACTCTCCTCCCCCCTTTTCAGTTACTATCATAAAGCAATTCATTCTGGACTCAGTGGATAAAATAAAATTATTTTTGTTTAGTCCTTTTCATGTGAGTCTATGCTGCTCCAGTAAGACAAATGGCACTCTCTAGGTTTCGTACTTTTTATTAGGTAGAAAAGCATACTGAAGCAAAGAATTGCATTTATTACCTCTCTTTGCCTAGACTTTCAGTAAATGGGGAAACTGATATTTAAACTTTTGTCTAATACCTATTTTCCACTTGGCAATAGCTTACTTATTACTGAGCCATATAAGTTTAATCCCTTAGTTATTTTTATCAGATTAAACCAATATTGTGTTGGGAGAATATATACTAACCATGTTTCCACTATCTTTACTGCAACTCACAGCAAGTCATAATTGTCAAACACCAAGAGAGATTTAGAATATAATCAAGTAGCTTTTCCACAAATAATTTTTTTCCCCTGTTATCAGAGAGACACAAAATTCCAGCAGGTTTTAAGTCAACCAGTGAAGCCTTTATCAAGACGTATTTGAGAGGACACAGCTCTTAAGGAGCTCTCCCAGGACTTAATCCACAAGACCACACTGACAACCGCTTCAGATGCTGGTAAAGGATTACCTTCCAATTAGGACTGAAAAATTTTCAGCCATAAGAAGCAATTAAAATACTGCATCTGTGCACATGTATATAACAAGAATTTAATTCTGCATTGCTTTCTCATAATCTCTTAAATTAAAAGCTCATAATGATAATTTATCCTTTTAGGCAACAAAAATAGCACACATCTGAAAAAAATCCCACTTGGGCTACTTTTATTGATGCTACTGTCATTAGATTACCTTGCTTCTCCAAAAGAATGATCACAGCACCTAAAGAGATCCTTTAAAGGTATTTTTCTTTTCCCATTAAGAAGAGCAAAATGCTATCACCTTCTATTCCTTTCCAAAGACCAATCTATCTGGCAAAACCAAACAAATCTCAAAAAGCAGTCTGTAGAAACCGAACACTTTTTCTTGGCAACCCTCCAAAACAGGTTAGTCTTTAAACACTGACCACTGGTGTTTCTAGCTCCAAAACAACGTAAGCAGCAGCTAAAATATGTTACTAATAGATGTAATTCCTAATACCACATATCTGATTATTTGCCAACAGAATGTGGCTTGAATTGCAAATGGAGTTACTCCCTGTTACAATACTGCCCTTACGCCGCAATGATTTTTTTTTTTTTTGCTGTTGTCATTTAACTCAAGGTTCATTGTTGTTGTGTTTAATAACCAAGTTCTTGTAACAAAACAATATTTAACGTTTGTTAACCACAAGAGATCACTTTAGGTGCATTCTTCCCAAAGCTACCATCGTCCCAGGTGCACTGCATGAACAGCTATATTTGTACCATGTACAGCCTTCAGGGTCTCCTGCCCACTCCAGAATAACGATTGCACCTGGAAACAGTGACTGAATTAAAGAGATCCCAAAAATGTCAACATTGCTCCCTTGTCATTTCTACTCCCTGGTTCTACGCAGAAATCTGTTCAGTGATTACTTCAGCCAAACACACTTCAACTTGTTGTCCAAAACAGCATCCATAAAAATAACACGTGTTTGCTAAATATTCCCAGTGATCCTAGGAGTGGGGGAAGTGCCAGCAATAGCAACAAATAGATTTCACAACTTTTCTCTAGACAGTGCACTTGCATTTTCAAAGGAAGAATAGCAAGAAAGAATACTCCAGTGGTGCCCTCTGGGTTGTATTAGAAGGCAAAACAAGCATATGACTGTTAAGTGATGGACTACCGTCAGTTGGACAGTAGTAGTTGGAGCGTAGTGCAACAGTGCAGAACAAAATGGAACACAAGAAGCTAGAGTGAATAGCATCATGACATGATATTCAGTTGAAGATAAACAGTCCTCCTCTTGCTAAATACGGATGCTGTTTCTCCATAGCTTTAGCTTGACTTTATTTTGACTAGACAGATAAGGAGTGGCTTATTTATATTAGGATCATTTCATCACTGACCTTTTTTTACCATTCGGCCAGCTACAGTGAACTGCGTGGAGTCATTGGCTGCTCCTTTACCCTTGGACTTCCAGGCTTCTTCTCGAGCTGTAATCAGGTGTTTCCTTTCTTCAATGGTCATCTGACTCTCCTGGTTCTCTGCCATTCTCTGCTTTTTTTGGGGAAAAGAGAAAGAGGTATTTAAAAAAAAAAAATAGATTAACTGGCGAGGATATAGCAAAGGACTGGCTGAACATTTCAACTGCTAGCTGTAGAGGGAAGAGAACAGGAGAAAAGCTACTAAAAAAGTCACAGACACAGCTTAGTCACCCTGACCCCGAGAAGCTTCATCATCTTCCTGCCCCATTACACTGTGAAAATAAAGTTTTGGTCTATGCTCCTTGACCTTTCCTCAAAACTAACAGGCAAGGGAAATGGCATGCTTCTAAGCAGAGCACACTGTTTACTCTGTGTATGATATAATTTTCCAGACCTTGTAATTTTGAAGCATGACTTGCAACACCAGTGAGATCACTAAACTGACTTTCAGCAGATGTTTTCAAGTGTGCAAATCTGCAGGTGGCCCAGAAAATAACAACAAAGTGTAACTTCAGTTTGTGATTTCTGAATCACTCTCTTGCAGTAACACAATTCTCCAGGCAGGATTAGCAGCCTTATCTCTCCAGAGGCTGCTCACTTTAGTCACTATGTCAGCTTGCTCTACTAAATATTTTTCCAATGGCTGTGATCATCTCCCCCCCCCC